CACTTAGCATCCTGTCTTCAGGATGTTGTGGCCTGTATCAGAATTTCATGCCTTTTTAAGGTTGAAAAATATCCCATTGTATATACACACCACCTTGTATCTACCCAGTCACCCATTGGCAGACATTTAGTTTGGTGAATGTGAGTAATGCTGCTATGACCGGGGGTGTACAAGTATCTGTTCAAGTCTCTGCTTTCAATTCCTTTGGATACATACTCCAAAATGGGATTGCTAGGTCTTATGGTAATTCTTTGTTTGATTAACTAATTAATTACACATTAATTACACGTTAAATTCATGGGGTTTTTTTGAGGACCCGCCATACTATCCTCCACAGTGGCTGCAGTATTTTACATTCCTGTCAGCAATGCACAAGGATTCCAATTTCTCCACATCCTTGCCCACACTTGGCATTTTCTGTCTGTTTGCTTTTATTTATTTTTAAGATTTTATTTATTTGAGAGAGAGAGAGAGAGAGAGCAGTGGGGACGGGCAGAGGGAGGGAGAGAACCAGACTCCCTGCTAAGCAGGAAGCCCGAGATCATGACCTGAGCCAAAGGCAGATGCCCAACTGACCGAGCCACCCAGGAGCCCCTGTTTGTTTGTTTCTATTTTATTTTTTTTTTAAGATTTTAAGAACATTTATTTGAGAGAGAGCGCAGAGTGAGAGAGAACACAAGTGGGGGGGAGAGGCAGAGGAGGAGGGAGAAGCAGGCCACATGAAACCACACCCATTGCTGAGCATTTCACTTCTGGTATCTGCACTAATCAGATCCAGGCAGCTTTTGGGGCACCTTGCCTTTTTGTTTTTAACATTTTATTTATTTATTTATGTAAGGAGAGAACAGGGGAAGGGGTAGAGGGAGAAGGAAAGAGAGGATCTCCAGCAGACCCCGAGCTGAGCGCAGAGCCTGACTCGGGGCTCAGTCTTACAACCCTGAGCTCATGACCTGAGCCTTAACCAACTGAGCCACCCAGGCACCCCAGGGGGCACCTTGCTTTTTGTGATGATTGATCCCAGGGCTGACCATCAACCTCTCAGAGGCATTTTCTGTTCACTTGTCCATTCTAGGTCAGTGTATATCAGACTTCTCTCTCCTTCGTGTGGATGCTGCCATCCCATACGACAACAGAAGAGCTCACTCAGCAGGTGTCTCCTAGTGGGTGCTTGCCCAGAAAATCCACTATATGGTGGCACTAACTTCTCCTAAGGCCCTTAGGAAGCTGTCCTTGTCATTAGGGTTGCTCACAAGTGTTCCAGTTTTTCCAGGCGTGTGGAGACATCTCTGTTCTGCCCCCTTTGAAGTTAGGTCAGGTTATGGATTGTTCAATACAATGTGAGCGGAACTGTCACATGGAAACTCATATCGAGATGGAGCCTCTTCCCTGAGTGACTGGAAGGAGCAGACCACCCCCACTAGACATGCAGCATGAGTAAGAAACAGACCTTTGTTGTTATAAGCCACCTAAATTCGGGTGTTATTTTTTATCGCAACTTAACCTAGCCTATCCTTCCTGATATAGAAGCTATGAATGTCCACAGAGATCCAGAAGAGATCGAGAAGGACGAGCAGCGAGCAGCCTTCAGGATAGGAAGGAATTTCAGGATAAATGGGCTGATCCAGCTCCTGAATTCAGTGTGCTCATTCCAAGGTTGCAGATAGTTCTGAAAGTAGGCAAGTGCCCTTCATTCCTTTTTAGCAGTTCCTCTAGATACTGAGCGGTCTGGCCTATTTCTGAAACTGGTCTGTAGTCCTATAGTCCAGGCCCTCACAAAGAAAACCACACCACTGAGTGGTCCTAAGCCATCCACTTCCAGAGTGTCTTAGACAAAATGCATAAATAAGGTTTATGAGCCTGGCACTGGGGTGCTATATATACAGTGTAAGAAATGGTCTTTACCCTCAATAGGCTTTATACGGGTTGTCTCGTTAGTGGAGTGGGACCCATAATGTTTACATTAGAACTGAAGCAAGCTGGGGGGTGGGTGGGTGGGTGGGGACTGTATTGAACTGGTGAGTACATGTCTTATCCAAAGGGGCAGCCATTTGCTCAGGTCCAGTTGTTTCTTGTTCAAGGAACAGGGGCTCAGTATTGCTAGATTTCAGGAAAGTGGAAATCCATTTTTGCAGGAGAAATTTGTTGTTGTTGTGCCAAACTAAGCATACACATCTGGCTGGATTTGATGTTTGTGGATGTTGCAGTAGTCCTCAGGATGGGTTCTAGAGTTCTAGGTTTGAATCCTGGCTCTACCACAGGACACAGAGGAGACAATCCTGTGGGAACCAAGGATTTCCTGATAAGGTGGGAAATGGAAGGAGCCTCAGTACAGCCTCAGGCCAGTCCCTGCAAACTTAAGACCACACTACACTGGCCAGAGTTAACGTCCCGGACAGAAAAACCACACCCACCAAGTCTTCCACAGGGCCCTCTAACCCCTCTTCTCTCAAACACAGAAGAGAGAGGAGAGCAGGGGTGCTGGCTTGGGGTCAGAAGTGAGTAGTTTTCCGGGCAGAGTTGGAAGATCAAGAAGGCAGGTAAAAAGGCACAAAGGTGGGAAGCCTCATTTGCTTTGGCAGCTGAGACGTCTAGAGGGATGCTGGAGCTCAGGCTGGGCAGTACACACAACCTACAACTTCAGGCTGAAGAATCTGGCCAGGCTGCAGGACCTCAGTCAAATGGAGAATGGGCGCCCCCTGGGAGCAATGCTCGGTAGTGGACGCTGGAGGACTCAGATGAGGGGGGCGGGAGGTGGCGGTGGAGGAGGGGGTGCGGCTCAAGATGGGGGCCGACTGCCGGCCACAGTTTTCTTCTCACATCATCTAACCCCTTCCGGCATGACGGATTCCTGGGATCCCAGAAGAGCTGGGAAGGAAGGGACCTCGAAAAAGGAACTACCAACACGTGCCCCGTGTCAGGCCCTCAGCTGGGCACTTTCGTGAACATTGTCCTAACACACCTAACTCTACTTGGAGGTAGGTATCATTATCCCCATTGTTCAGATGAGAAAACCGAGGTTTGATGGCTTCCCAAGGAGGGGCGGGGATTTTGTATGACTTCAGAGCCTCTTCCCTGGAGTCCTCACGACCTGGAAGATACCGATTCCATGAGGTTTGGGGGAACAAGCATCCGGTGTGAGGCGCCCAAGCTTTCCGAGGGGACAACAGCGTGATGGTACTTTCGGCGAGAACCACGCCTCCCTTGTCGCGACAATACTGATTACTGTTGCTTTCCTTTAAGAGCCTTACCCTCAAATATGAAGTCCTTGCCACACGCGGGGGCGGACATTATATAGTCCTTAGATCTCCCGGACGTCTTTCTCCTTCACCCGCACTGAGCCCCACTAGTGACATAAATTCTACTCCTCCACTAGCGAGTGGAGGCGCGGGACTACAACTCCCGGCAGGTTGTTCAGAAGGAGGTGGTGGGGAGAGGAGGAAAGACACTCTCGCTTTCCGTAGGCTCGCAATTTGGCGTGTCCGCCGTGATGCACATTTCAACAGCCCACATCCTTTCTCTGGAGAGCTAAGGAAGGGACTACGTCCCCCATCAGGCACTGCCGCAGAGAACAAGCGCTGGGCCGCCATCATCATTGTAGTCCTTTCCCGCGTTTCTGCAAGGGAACAGCCCTAGTGCATGGACTACAAATCCCAGGTCGCCGTCCCCCTTCCCTTCGGCCGCCATCTTTGCTGGTTGTCCCCGCCCCTTTCCCCTTCCATTGTCTCGACCAAAGATAATAGAGCGGAGCTGGGAAGACTGCAACTCCCGTCAGGCTCTGCACCACCGGGAGGGGGATTTCGATGTTTCAGGCGGGCGAGGTGCCCAAGGTGGTAGAATGAAGCGACGGGGAGAGGCCAGGTAGCCTGCCATCTTTATGGTAGTCTCCTTATTTTCGTGGTTCCGCCATTCTTAAGGCACACTAGAAGACTAGAAAACTACTATTCCCATCGCACCTCAAAAGACCGACTACTAGTCAGGTGTACGCCCCTCTTCCACCATCTTGCTTGTAGTTCTCGTTCCTTTTCACCTTTCCATTGTTCCTGACGAGTAGAAATGGCAGCGGGAAGGCAGCAGATGGACTGCGACTCCCGTCAGGTACCACACACGCGGAGGGTTGTGGACAGGAGGGCGTGTGAGTGCCTGGGAAGGAGGTCGGGTCGGGGGAGAAGGCCATCTTGTTTGTAGTCATCGTTCCCGCTCCTTCTCTATCCTCTGCAACGGGGAGCCTCGGGGCAACCGGACTATAACTCCCGGCACCCTCGGCTCCCGGCTTGGCACGCCCTCCGCCATCTTTTTTGTAGTCCCCGCTGGCCCCAGCATCCCATTGTTCCCACGGTATCACCGGCGTCCGCAGGACTACGATTTCCGTCGTGCCCTGCGCGTGTTCGTCCTGGAAAGTGGAGGTGGTGGGGAGAGGAGGGGGCAGGGGGCGGGGTTCCTCTGGGAGAAGGAGGGAGTAAAGAGGAGGAGGAGGAGGGAAGGAGGAGGGAGGGGTGGGGGAAGAGAGGAGGAAGGAGGAAGGAGCTCAGGAGGGATGAGAGAGGCGGCCAGGGCCCCGGGCCGAAGCAGCGCGGGGCCGGGGGACCAGGGGGGCTGAGGCACCCCAACTGCCCCCTCCCCCTTTCCCTGTCCCCTTCCATCCTTTCCTTCCACTCTCCGGCTTGAGGAAGGGGATTTATTCAAATTTTATTTAAATCCCTATCTCTGGAGGGTCGCGCGCTGGGGGGAGGGGGAGAGGGCGGGGGCGCGCGCAGGCTGGGGGGGCGGGGCCGGAGCAGCTTCCTTCACCCCCCTCCACTCGCCCGGTAGCCCTAGGGCAGGGGGCCGCAGTCTAGGGGCGGGCCCAGGGGAGGGGGGCAGGTTACAGGGACCCCCCCCTCCCCGGGAACCGGCGGTGGGCGGGGCTTGAACCCCGGAAACGGTGGGGGGCCCAGGCCTGGCCCTGGACCCCTGGGCAGTGGGGGCCGGGAAGGGGCCAGTTAAAGGGCCGGGGGCGCTGGGGAGAGGCGGGTGGGGGGAGGGGAGCTGTGACTCGGACCCGGGACTGAGTGGGGCCCGGGCAGAAGCTGAGCACCCTGCGCCCGAGGAGCCCCCGTTGGCCTGGGGGGGCTGAGGGACTGAGCCCCCCAGAGAAGGACCTCCCCCTGGAAGGGCCGCGCCGCAGCCCGTGGGAGGGCCTCGCCCCCGGCGCCCCCCATCTCCACTCGCCGCCGTCCCGGCCTCCGCCGGAGGGAGGGGCCGAGCGCCCTCGGGGGGCCGTGGACCCCGGCGTTCTGAGCGTTCCGCGCCCCGCGCCGCCCGGCCCCCCCGCCGCCGATGGCCGCCGACCCGCCGGGAGCTGCCGAGAAGGGAGAGATGGCTCCCGGGACACGTGTGAGGTGGGTTCATGCGGCTCCTCCTCACCCCCAGACCTGGGCAGCTCCCACTCCCATTCATCCTCAGCCCGGCCTCTCTCTACCTTCCCCGCCCCCAGCCTCGCCCTCTCTTTGCTCCAAACTCCTCTCATCTCCAGCCCTCCTTCCTGTTACCTCTCAACCCTGGGGAACTGGCCTTCCTTCCTAGACCCTGCTTCCCCTTGCAGACCCCCATCCCCGCCTGCAGTCGCCGCCCTCCAGGCCCCTCCCCTGGAGCGCTGGAGGGCCCCTTCCCCCCATGGATGGGTCTGGAAGTCCCTGGAAAGGGGGAAGCTAGGGTAAGACTCTGGCCACGAAGAGACCCCCTCCAGGCTTGCTGAGTCTGTATGGGATCTTGGAGGATCTGGTTTCCATGGGAAGGGGAGCCCAAGGGATTCTAGACAATTAGGGATGGAAAAGTAGCCTGGGAAGCTTGGGGGTGGGGGAGAAGACATGTAGGACTGAGCCCATCCTGAGTTCTGTGGAGATGTCATGGTGGATTCTAGAATCCCAGGGAATCTGGGAGATTGCCCAGGCTGACCTGAGAGATCCAAGAGGAGAATGTCTTGGGGCAGAGGGAGCTCTGTGGGGAGCAGAGCAGTTGAGATCTTGGGCTGAGGAGGGGCTCTGAAGCAGCATGGGAGGGGGGTGTCTCAGAGCCCTGGGGATGGGGGAGGGCAAGCATCCCATTGGATCTGTTGACAATGTATAGGTTTTGGGGGAAGAGAGATTGAGTGGTAGTTGTGAGAGAGAGAGAGAGAGAGAAAGGAGAAAGGAAGAAAGGTCTAGAGCTTCTACCCAGGAATTTGTGGGTATCTTGGAGGTAAGTCTGGGGGAATTTTAGGTGGAGTGCATTTGGATACCAGGGGAAGAGTTGGGGCCTCTCTAAGGTAACTCCACGAACTAGGAGCCTGGCTTTCCAAGGAGCTTTGGTGTGGGGATGTCAGTGCAGAGTCCCCAGTCCCTTTCCCTCCCGAGTAGGCAAGGGGATGCTGAGGAAGTGTTAGAGGAAAGAGGAGTGAGGTCGGGAAGCCAGTTCTCAGGTTCCCAGAGGAGCCAGGTGAGCGCTTTGGAGAGAGAGGCCTTGAGTAGAGGGAGTGGTGCCCACCCCCTGACCCCAGGAGGGATAGTCTCCTTGTTCCTTGCCTCCCCGGCGTAGGAGAGCCAGCTCTGGCTGCCTAGGAATGGGGGGAGCTACCGGGAGTTTCCCAGGCCAGGGCCTCAGTGGGCCCACCTGACCCTGCTTTCGTTCACCCACAGCCCTCGGCGTTGCTGACGCCCCCAATGTCGTCGAGCAGCCGGGGGCCGGGGGCCGGAGCGCGCCGACGCCGAACCCGCTGCCGCCGCTGCCGGGCCTGTGTGCGCACTGAGTGCGGGGACTGCCACTTCTGCAGAGACATGAAGAAGTTCGGGGGGCCCGGGCGCATGAAGCAGTCGTGCCTGCTCCGGCAGTGCACTGCCGTGAGTTCTGCCCCCAGCACACCCGACACCCCCGGGGCTTTGGGTGCCCTTCCCCAGCCGGCCCACGTACCTTTCTGGGCCAGCTGCTTCGTAGCACACACTGTAGAGTTGCTGTCTGTTCAAATATCCACCAGGGCCATTTTTGTCTCCACTTGCGAGTGGGGGGCGATGTTAGGGCACCCAGAAGAATCTAACCCTGTGCTTACCTTCGCGTTTTTCCCGGCTTCAGAGGCACAGACCCATAGAGAGCTCAGCTCAGCCCCTCTTGTGCTCCTTCCTGGAGGAATCTGCGCACAGGGGCGCACTTCCAGAGCTGGCCCAAGGGAATAGGTCTTAGCCTTCCGGCCTCTTCCTCACCTGCCAGAGTGGTCTCGGATTTGAGGCCAGGCTCTTACCCTTTGTGTGACCTTGAACAGACACTTTGAACCTCAAGGTACCTTTCCTGTGAAAGATTTCCTTTGCTGAGTCGTAAAGATGAAGCAAGAACATGCATGTGAGTGTGCCCAGCACACAGTAGGTATCAGAGAACATGAGTTTCTTCCTTTGAGCCCCCTTTGTGGCCCTTCTCCAGCAGCCTTGAGGAGCCAGCTGCATCCTGCACCCCCTCCTGGAGGACCGCCACCTCCTTTTTCCTCCAGCCCCTCTGCTGCCTCTTCACCCTACAGCCCCCCTCTTCTCTTTCTTTGTTCTCCAACCCTTGCCTCACTTTCCTTTTCCTCCTTTCCCTACCTCCTTTTTCCTTGGGCCTGTCTCCCAACCTTCAGCATCCCTCACGTGACTCTGTATTACCCTGCCTTCCCCCCCAAAGTCAAGTTGTCTGAGGGCTGCTCTCCCCTAGGACCAGCCAGCTGCCTTTAGCATGCCCAGGAGTCTTGCCAAAACCTGATTCATTGTAGGGTCCAGAGCAACCCTTGGGCTGCCCATTGTGCAAACTCAGAATCATCCCAAGCTGCGGCCACAGCCCCTGCAGCTCTCTTGCTCTCTCTTTTAACAGTGTTGTCCTGTTTGCCACCGTTTCTATCCTTCCCCAAAGCCAGCAACAGTTTCAGGGTCACACACACACACAGACCCCGACTCCAGCTGCAACATTTGCAACAGCAATAACAACTATGTATCCACTGCCTCCCTGAGTGATCACATTCTTCCCGAGGTCTTGCAAAGGAAAAATGCCTAACCCCATTTTACAGATGGAGAAACAGACGTAAGGAGGTTAAATCACGTGCTCAAGGTCATACTGCCGAAAAGGAACAGATTCAAGATTTGACCTAGCTTGACCCATGGGTTCTGAACCTCATCCAGCAGCTGGCCAGGCTCCTGAGAAGAAAGGGTCTTCCCCCTGTCGCTTGCTTTCGGGGTCCCTAATACTCCCTCTTCCCCAACAGCCCGTGCTCCCACACACAGCTGTGTGCCTCTTGTGTGGGGAGGCTGGGAAGGAGGACACAGTAGAGGGAGAGGAAGAGAAATTTGGTTTGAGCCTCATGGAGTGTACAATCTGCAATGAGATCGTCCACCCTGGCTGCCTGAAGGTGATGGCCCTGGGGGCCCTGGAGTCTGAAGGTGATGGCCCTGGGGAGCGCTGCCTCTGGGTTTACTGGCACCCTACATCCACTCCCTGCCCTCTGCCTACAGATGGGGAAGGCTGAGGGTGTCATCAATGCGGAGATCCCTAACTGCTGGGAGTGCCCTCGCTGCACCCAGGAAGGCCGGACCAGCAAGGTAGGGGTAGGGGCTGGGCTGGGTGCTGGGTTCTGCGTAGACGGTGGGTTGGGGAGCTGGAGAGAACCTCAACCCCAGCTTCCATCTCCCCAGGATTCAGGTGAGGGACCAGGCCGCCGCAGGGCTGACAACGGCGAGGAGGGCGCCAGCCTGGGGAGTGGATGGAAGCTGACGGAAGAGCCGCCGCTTCCACCACCCCCACCTAGGCGCAAGGGCCCCTTACCTGCTGGGCCCCCCCCCAGAGGACGTGCCTGGGCCCCCCAAAAGAAAGGAGAGGGAGGCAGGGAATGAGCCCCCCACCCCAAGGAAAAAGGTGAGCCAGGGAGCATGCTTATTAGGTCCAGCCCAAGGGATTCTGGGAGCGGTAGTCTAGTTCCTTTTTGGGGAGGGTGGGCCTGGGAGGCTGTGCTCTGTGGGTTCTCCAAGGGGTTGTTGGGGGATGTAGTTTAGGAAATGTTGGGCGGGGGAGGGTGGAGCATGCTCGGTAGGGAGGAGAGGTACAGGTGAGGGGCACCTGGCCCTGGGCAGGGAGGCTTTGGGAGCCCTGGGTGCTTCAGGTAGGAGGGAGAGAGCATGCTCAAATTAGCTGCTACGGAGGAGGAAAGGAGGGGCTGGAAAGGGCCTGAGGGGGAAGAAAGAGAAGAGGAGAGCATGCTCAGTGAGCCAAGACACTGGTTGGGAAGGTGAGCATGCTCAGAGTTCTTCCTGAGATGTGGGCTTCTGGGATTTGTAGTCTAAGAAGCGAGCATGGATCTTAGTTTTGTGGACGATGAGGGGCTAATGGGGCCTCTCCCTTTCCCCATATTTCCCTCTTGCTCTGATAGGTGAAAGGAGGCCGAGAGAGGCACCTGAAGAAGGTGGGTGGAGACGCCTGCCTCCTCCGAGGATCGGACCCAGGCGGCCCCGGCCTTCTGCCCCCCAGGGTTCTGAATCCGAGCCAGGCTTTCTCGTCCTGCCACCCTGGGCTCCCTCCCGAGAACTGGGAGGTGTGCCGGGGACCTCCACCCTCCCCCTCCCATCTTTCCTTGCCCCACCCTCCACCCTGGAGACAGAGATCTGTCCCTTCCTGCTCACCTTGTCCTGCCCCTGCCCCATTTGGCCACAGTGGCATCTGGACCCCTGGGAAGAGTGGAGGGGGAGAGGTGGGTTGGGGCCAGGCCACAGGACTTTCCAGGAACCCCTGGGGTGTCGTCTGACCCATTTGCGTCATCTTTCCAAACCTTAAAGGGAAAAGAACTGAGTTCAAATCCCTGCCCACTGACTCCCTGTGTGGTCTTGGCAACTTGTCAGCTGCTCTGAGCCTCGGTTCCTCATCTGTGAAGGAGATGATACTACCTACCTTATCCACCCATCCCACAGAACTGTTTACATCTAATGAAAGTAAATGAGATTTGTGAACTGTGAAATGTACTTAGATTTGAGGAAGATGAGGCCCAGAGAGGTTAAAAGACTTGCCCAAGGTCCCACAGCAAAGCTAGGATTCAGATGTCACTGTGCACTGACACATGAATGCAAGGGTCTGCCTGATTATGTTCAAATCCTGCTTCTGCCATTTGTCAGTTTGTAGCCTTGGGCAAGTCACTTGGTCTCTCTGAGCCTCAGTTTCCTTGAGTGTAAGGAGAGTGGTCCAGGTTGCCACTCCGTTGGAGCGCTGTGAGGATGTGGGTCCGTGAGTATGAGGTGCTCTGTCATTCTCATATCGTTGAGTAGACACTTGGAATCACCTAGTCCAGCGTTCCGTATTGTAGATGATGAGGCCGGGGCTTCCCAAGTTCACACAGAGAGGTGGTAGCCGAGTTGATACTCAAAACGACATCTCTAACTGTTCTCCGTATTTCACTGCCTTTGGAAACTCATAAACTATTGAAACCTGGAAGGCTTCTAATTCTTTGAATCAGTGCCTTCACATGACAGATAAGGAGACTGAGGTCCAGAGAGGGACATGCTGCGGCTGAGGCCTCACGTCGTTCAGGGGCAGAGCCATGGCTGGAGCCCAGGACTGTTTCTCGGGCTGCTCATCCCCTGCTGACTCCTCAGGACAGGGAGGTGGGCAAGCACGTGTCGGGCCCTAGAACAGCCTCCCCCCATCTCCTTGCAGAAACCAAAGCCGCCTTTGGCCTCTGCTGAGGGCCCGGCCGTGCCATCCCCGTCCCCACAGAGGGAGAAGCTCGAGCGTTTCAAGCGCATGTGCCAGCTACTGGAGCGGGTCCCTGACACCTCCTCGTCCTCCTCGGACTCGGATTCCGACTCTGACTCTTCAGGCACATCGCTCAGTGAGGAGGAGGCCCCTGGCGAGGCCCGGAATGGGCGACGGCCAGCCCGGGGCAGCTCGGGCGAGAAGGAGAACCGCGGGGGGCGGCGGGCTGTGCGCCCTGGCAGTGGGGGGCCCCTCCTCAGCTGGCCCCTGGGCCCCGCCCCACCGCCCCGGCCCCCACAGCTGGAGAGGCACGTGGTCCGGCCCCCACCTCGAAGCCCTGAGCCCGACACACTGCCTTTGGCTGCTGGATCCGACCACCCGCTGCCCCGAGCTGCCTGGCTTCGTGTCTTCCAGCACCTCGGGCCCCGAGAGCTGTGCATTTGCATGCGAGTCTGCCGGACTTGGAGCCGCTGGTGAGTGGCCTGGACGGGCCTGGGTTCCCGCTTGCCGTATGACCTGCGACAGCCAGTTATGACCTCTCTGGGGCTTGTTCTTACGTTGATCATACTCCTGTAGTATGGATGTTTTCTAGTCTGATATTTCCGTATTTGCTGCGTGCAAAGCCACTTTCCATTGTTTGAGCTCATTTAACTCTCATAACAACCTTGTGAGGGTAGGTCCTATTATTCCTTTTTACAGATGAAGCTGAGGTCAAGGTTGTGGAGAGGAGATAGTGGAACCAGGAATTTGAACCCAGGCCCCATGGCTCCAGAATCTTTGCTCCTAATAACCGTCATTTATGAGCGTTAATGTGGCAAGCAGGGTGCTAAGTGCTGTCGCACATCACCCAGTTTGCTTTGCACAGTCCTTTCTCTGAGGACGGTCTCACTAGAGGTCCCATTTACACATGAGAAAGCTCTTTGCTGAGGTGGCCCCTGCCCTCTCAGAGGCAGCCATACTTCAGGCTCCTGACTCCCCTTGTCACTTCTCTATGCCCTGGAGCTGCCACCAGCTCCCTCTGCCTTTCCTCCCCCCATCTCCCCGCTGCTTCCTAAACCTTGCTTGTTCAGACATGTCGGTCATCCTCCCAAGCCTCTGGTCTCCCTCTTCGATCCTGCCCCCAACAAAATCCTCCCCCAGTCCCATCAGACTCCCACAGCACCCTGTACGCCTCACAGAGCGCACAGAGGCCTTCACTCATTTATTCACGCTCATGTTCTCATCGCTTGTTACAGTGGGGCAGATACTGTGTCTGTTTTATCTGCGTGTTCCCAGCACAGGACAAGGGCAGTGGAGGTGCCCAAGAAGTAGTTCATTAAATGAGTACATTCAGGCTCTTTCCCAGGCACATCCTGTGCAGCAGGCGTCCTGGTGGGCACTTTGCAAATTGTGGGCTGCCTCGTTCCTCATAATCGCAGCCCTGTGGGAGGATGAGGGACACCTGAAGTCACAGCACAAGCTGGTGGCTGAACTTGAACTCCACTCCTTTTCCTTGGGACTCTGGGGCACTAGCTCGCACCTCTGGTCTCTGTGGAGGCTGGAGAGCTGAGAGGAAACTGAGCTGAGAGGAGTGTGCGGGCTCTGGAGGCAGATTGCCTGTGTTTGAACCTTACTCTTCCCCTGATAAGCTGACAGCCACTGGCCTAGTTTCTTAACTTCTCTGTGCTTCAGTTTCTTCTTCATCTGTTAAACCAGGAGAACCAAAGCATTTACTTCGTAGCGTCTTTATTTTTATTTATTTATTTTTATTTTATTATGTTATGTGAGTCACCATACGTTACATCATTAGTTTTTAATGTAGTGATCCACGACCCACCGTTTGCGTACAACACCCAGTGCTCCATTCAGTACATGCCCTCCTTAATACCCATCACCAGGCCAACCCATCCCCCTTCCCCTCCCCTCTAGAACCCCCGGTTTGTTTCTCAGAGTCCATAGTCTCTCATGGTTCATCACCCCCTCCAATTCCCCCCCTTCATTTGTCCGTTCCTACTATCTTCTTTTTTTTTTTTTTTTAACATATAACGTATTAATTGTTTCAGAGGTACAGGTCTGTGATTCAATAGTCTTACACAATTCACAGCACACACTCTCCCCAAAGTCGTAGTGTCTTTATGAGCTAATGTACATAAAGAACCAAGGACAGTACCCAGGAAGTAGAAACTACTCAGTGCCCTAACTGTAACCTGTATTATTCGTTCAGTTACAAATACTGACTGAAAGCACAGACTTTATATCTTCAGAGTGTGGGCCTGGGCCCTTGCAGAGCTCCCAGTTAGCCTGCAACATAGAAGCAAAGAGAGCAATTGCTGGGGATCCCCACCCCTGCGCATGTAGTGTTTGGGGATATGTTGCTCAGGCCTCTTCAAGGCCAGCTCTGTGCTTGGCACATGGGATCCAGGACCGAAGAGGACTTAATTTCTACCTCAAGGAGAGACTTGTGACCGGAAGTGGATGAAGCAGAGAGGCTGGACGGCACAGTGATTTTCAGCTTGGGCCCTGGAGTCTGGCACCCATGGGTGTCATCCACGGTGACTCGTGTCCTGCTTGAATATGTATAGCCGTGGGTGGATAGCTCTACCTTTCAAGGCTTGTTTTCTCATCTGTAGTCTGGGGTTTATACTAATACCTTGTGGGGATTAAATGAAGTGGTTCTTGCAAAGCACTTAGCACAATACCTGAGAGGTACTAAACACTCAATAAAATGGTCGTTTTTGGTAAGGACGAGGGTAGGGCAGAGCAGAGGTACAGTGGGACCAGTCAGGAGGCTTGGAGGCTGGAGGGGTAGAGAGGAGGGACTGGGGCTGAGAATTTTTTAAGAAGCAGAATGGCTTGTGTTTGGTACCTGGGCAGCAGGGTGACGACTCTTCAGCTGAGTTTCTGGCCCACAAACCTGGGTGGGCAGGAGCACTATTCCCCAAGCTCGGGAATACCAGAGGAGGAGCAGGTTCCAGGAACGCGAAGTGCTCAGATTTGACATGTTTGGTCCGAAAGGCCTGTGGGCCAGTCAGGAGCTAGCAGGACGGCAGATGCATGTACAGGTCAGATGCTGGAAGGATCCAGGTTTGGAAGTTCTCCCCCTGCAGGTAGCAGCTTCCAGAAAGAGGAGAGAAGACAGAATGTCAGTATCTGTGAGTTAGAGAAAGACCAGCCAGAGACACGAAGGAGATGGTGGAAGTGTCCCGCAGGGGAGAGATTGAGGAAGGAGTGAATGATAGAGTGTAGGATGTTGGCAAGAGGTCGTGGGAGACCAAGGACCACAAGTGGCAGTTGGATTTGCTACATGAGGCCCTGGTGTCCTTGGCTGTGCTACGTGGGAGTAGGGCACCAAAGCCAGGTCACATGGGGTTGAGAACATCAGCTCCAAGAAAGGGACTTGATCTGTTCGTTGCTGTGTCCCTAGTTTCTAAGATGGCGCCCGGCATCCAGTAGGTTCTAAGACATTACTGGATGGATGGATGGATGGATGGATGGATGGATGGATGGATGGAAGTGAGGAAACCAAGGTGGTGTGTGGAAAGAGGCAGTGAGGGTGGAGCCAGAGAGAAATTTGTAGGTGGGAGAGCAGGAAGTTGCGGGCTTTCCTGTCTGGTGGCTTTTATCTCCTCTTGGAACTGGGAGGCAAAGTGAATGTACCAAGAGCAAGGGGAAGGGGGCAGGCAGAAAGCATGGTAGAGTTGTTGAGGCGCAGAAAAGAGGGTTGGAACTTTGGGGGACATGGGCAGAGGGTGGCGAGGAAGGGACTGGACCCCAAGGTCAAGGCCAGCTGGGGCTGGGAATAAAGGCCTGGAGACTGGTGGATAGGAGGACAGTGGTGGCATCGGGGAGCCCAGAGAGCTGAGAGTAAAGAACCAGGCTGTGAGCTCCTGCCTGGCATCAGTTGGGCTGGTACATCCGCATCCCCAAAGGGCCTCTGCAAGACAGAGGCTTAGGACCAGAATTTCGGATTTGGGAGGTGGGCTTAATAGGGGGCTGACTGGGTCGGGGTGGCCGGAGGCTAGGGTAAAATGAACTGGGTTAGGGAACTCAGACATCAAGCCCTGATGCCCCCGGATGACGGCAGGCCGTGCCTCTTAGCAGTTCTTCCTACCCCTCACCTTAGTGTCATTCCGCAGCTTGGAAAGGACCCATGCATGGTTCCCTGCTGCCCTCACAGTGAACTCCCACAGCCCTGCTAGACATTTGCACACGTATAGTACCTCAGTGACTGCACTGAATGACGGTCCCGCCAGGCATTGCAGCCTCCTGGCCACGGTGTGCCACCCCAGCCTCCTCTGCAGTCTCCCCCCTCCCCCTTCCTCAGACACAACTCAAGCGCTCAGGCCAGACCAGCTTGGGTTAAAGCCTGGTTCTGCTGCCACTTAGTAGCCGTGGGACCTCGAACAAGTTTCCCAACCTCTCTGGGACCTCATTTTCCTTAACTCTAAAAAGGAGGTTATAGTAAAAGTATTTACCTCCTAGGGCTGTTGTGAGGTTGACTGCCTAATGCACAGACCAGTACCTGGCCCATAGTAAACCTTTGATAAACACTAGGTATTCATGCTGTAGTCCTCCCCATCTTCCTCATTATTAAGGTGAGGTGTGGATTGCCCTTTGTTCCTGCTGCCTGAATTTCTCAGAGCGCTCCGTTTTCTCTCTCTGTCCCAGGCCTGGATGCTGGTTCTTCCCCATCTGGAACATACATCGTCTTCCCACTTCTGTCTCCCTGGGAGGCGCCCTGTCCCGTCCTCTTGTTGACTCTTGACTATATCCCTTGCTGCTTCAGTTACCGTGGACTGGCTGTGTTTCCCCCGGTTTCCTGACAGTGCAGCGGAGGCTGGACACTTAGGATCTGTAGGGCCCTGAGTGATTATTGGCTGCCACTCTGAGGTTTAAACCCAGTGTCCTGGTCATTCAAGGGCAAAGGGACCAATTAGTTCAAGCCAAGAAAAGTCATGGGAGACTTCCTGGAAGAGGAGACACTGGGGCTGAGTGTGGAAAGCTCTCGGTTGGTTGGCATTTCAGGCAGAAGCACAACATGTGCCAATATATGTTGGCACCAGGCAGCATTGTGTGTCTATCGGCGGGCAGGTAGTTCGATGTGGCTGTTGTGGAGTATGATACAGAAGCAGTTGGGGGCCTGTGTGTGCCCCCAGGGGGGAAGGGTTCCCTTCTAGCCATGGAAGATCCAAGGGCTTCAGGGTGATCGTGGCAGTTGAGCTGAGACTCAAGCCTGGGTTGGAGTGGGCAGGATTTCACCGAGGGGAATGAGAAAAGGGGCAGAAGCTCGGTTGAGGGTAGGCTGGGTTTTTTCCTTTTCTGTTTTGTAATCGGAGAGATTTGCAAGTGGTTATTGGTCGAGTGGAAGGAACCAGGAGGAGAGGCTATAATACCAGGAGGGGGGAAAGGGGGAAGAAGCGGCAGGCGGCACCGAGAAGTGGGGTTGTTTGGATTGAAGCCTTAGTGTCTGTGCCCCCAGTAATTCCCTAAAATGTCAGATGGGGCTCTGTGGAGAACGCCTGGCAGTTTCAAGTGGCGCAAAACCATGGCTTAATCCTTGTATTAGTTTTGAAAAGGAAGTGTCTCCGCTGGGTGCTATTGTATGTTTAACATCTCTGTAATACTTATCTCCCTGCTTAACAAAAATAGTCTTCAGGTGGTAGCCTAAAGCCTAATAGTCCCGGTCGGTTTTTATTGTATGTATCTCTAAGGTTAACATTTTTATGTGAAGCAATACTGGTTTTTTTTAATTAATTAATTAATTAATTTATTTATTTATGAGAGTCAGAGAGAGAGAGAGAGGCAGAGGCAGAGAGAGAAGCAGGCTCCCCGGCGGGACTTGATCGCAGGACCCTGGGATCATGACCTGAGCCGAAGGCAGACGCTTAACCATCTGAGCCACCCAGGTGCCCCAGCAGTACTGGTTTTAAGTGCAAGGAGGGGATCTATTGAAAGATAAATTCACGTTCTGAGAGAAGGGGATAGCACCTAACTGGAGTTGGTAACCACTGCTCCAGCCCCGAGCTTCTCGAAGGGAAAGCGCTCAGAATGGGGTGGTGGGAGGGAGGTCAGACACAGCTTCCTGGGCCTTCCCCACCCCTGCTGCTTCTGACACAGTCCGTGTAGCCCAGTGGGAATTTCCTGACATGCTTTTGAGAACTGGAAGAGAGTTTTCAGACTAAGTCTCGAGGAACTCTAGTGTGCCACAAAGTGTTCACAGATGACCTTGGGAGAGGTGGGGAAGGGTTCCTTGGTAAAATAAGTTTGGGAGGGCCTTCTCTGGTTCACTGCATGTCGGACCCGTCAGGGCTGTCAGGGACCAGGAAAGCTGTTTAACTTTGTGTAGGCCTCATTCGTCTTTGGAACTTTGATTCCTGGGCCCTACCAAGCCTTCCATAAACATTGAGTGGATAAGTGAAAAGCTGTAGATGATGTGTATTGTGGGGGAGCGCTCAGTGGAAGCTTCAGGGACTTCATGCCGGCTTCGCACCATTCATTCATGCAACAAATGTGCAACGGGTAACCCCTGGCACAGTGCTAGGTACTGGCGCTACCAAAGGGGAAAAGCCGTCCTGCCCTGGTAGGGCCTACATTCTAGTTGGAGGGACACAGTAACCTGAGACAGGAGGTAACAGGGCCGTAAGTCGAGCCTTGGGCAGCTGGCCATCAGAATGGGCCAGATGTGGCTCAAAGGCAGAGATGAATAGAGGAGATGAGATGTTCCCACGAGTCACCATAACTTAGCCAGGGAGAACTCCAGAGGCACAAGGTGGGGGTGGTGGGGGCTGCTGACAGATCCCTTTGGTGTTACATCAAATACAGTGTGTAGGGTGTTTGTGTCTTTGGCAGAGTGCTTTATAAGCTGTAAGGTCTAAAAACTGCAGCGACCTCATTTGATCTCACAGTAGCCCTGTGGGGCAGGCTGAGTCTGGGTCATTATCTTCATTTTACAAGTGGAGCGTCTGAGGCTCAGGGAGAGGAATGGACCTGCCTGGGGTCTCACATCCAGTTAGTGATGAAACTGAGCCCCAAACCCAGTGCCCTTGGCCCGAGGCTGGGTACTTCCTGCCACCCCTGCTGTCTTTGTGGGCCAGGACAGAGCTGTGGCGGATGAACTCTTGAAGTAGGGAGTTTCGCAGGCTCCCTAAGAGCTGAGGGCTCTGTCTCCCTCTTGTGGCTGATAGGTGCTATGACAAGCGTCTGTGGCCTCGAATGGACCTGAGCCGGCGAAAGTCACTGACCCCACCCATGCTCAGTGGTGTGGTTCGTCGCCAGCCCCGAGCCCTGGACCTCAGCTGGACAGGTGTCTCCAAGAAGCAGCTCATGTGGCTTCTGAACCGTCTGCAAGGTAGGGTGGGATGGCAAGGTAGGACAGGGTGAAGAGGGAGACAGTGCTGGGATGGAGCACCGACTTCCTGACCTCCCCTGCCCAGGCCTGCAGGAGCTGGTGCTCTCCGGCTGCTCCTGGCTCTCTGTCTCTGCCCTGGGCTCAGCCCCACTGCCAGCCCTGCGGCTCCTGGACCTTCGCTGGATTGAGGATGTTAAAGACTCCCAGCTCCGCGAGCTGCTGTTGCCTCCACCAGACACCAAACCAGGTGTGGTGTCTGTTGGCTCATCTGTAGATGGGTTGGGCAGGGGAAGGGGGGTGGGTATGAGGCCTCCAAGGTCTCTTCCAGCTCATGCTGGGTGTTAAGAGATTTGAAGAAAGGGCAGAACGCATGAGTTTGGTTAGGAGGCCTTGCTTGGCCACCGTTCATTCGTTTACTTCCCTGCTGTGTGTTGGGCCCTGTGATAGGAGCTGTGAGGGAACAGGGATGAAGGGGAAGTGGCCCCTGTGCTCCAGAGGGGAGATGATTATGTGATGAAACATGGTATAAGACAGGAGGATGGCATAAGAATTCTAGAAGAAGCCAGGGGCCTGGCTGATGGCAGATAGGAGTGAAGTCACTGGGTGTGGTGGGTGCTCCTGAAGAGCCTCCTCCAAGGGGTGCAGCGGCAATGGCCATGGAAAATGCAGGCCCAAGATGGCCAGTCACTTCCATTGGTCAAGAGGAGCCAGACACGTGGATTTTCCTGTGACATATCCTTGATTTTAAATGACAGCAGTTAATTTAACATTCTTTTCAAATTCATGTGTGGGGCAGTACATATATGTACTCTATGGCTGAGCAATAGATTTGGTCCCTGTGCCCCCTTCCCCTACGGTAAAAGAATAAGGGTTTTCCTGAGGGAATGGAGCAGAAAGAGGGATCCAGTTGACTTGGAAGGTTGCATCAGGGTGGTGGTACCCTCTCCCGTCAGGCCTGCTACCTCTTCAGCCTGGGTCAGGCCTGGGTACCCTGTCAGGTAAAGACAGCTTTTACTATTGGACACATACTCCAGCCTTGGCCTTCTGTAGGGCCCTGGAGACCTCACACAGCCCCAGTCCCTACCCTAGTAGAACCCCAGTAGTGCAGAAGAGAGAGAATCAGAAACAGAAGGTTACAGGGTGATACGGTGGAGGCTGTGGTTGGGTGTGGGGAGCAGAGAGAGAATCCCTCCTTGAGGAGGTGCTGTTTGAACTGACTCCTGAAAGGGACAGGGTTGTCCCAGGGAGTGTGAGGCAGGAGTAAGCACTTCCGTAGGGAATGAGGCCCATACTGGTAGAGGGGAATGCTGGAAGCAGACGCCCGTCACAACGGAGGTGTGGGTCAGGAGCACTGAGGCCTGGGGGCTCCTTCCTTGTCTAGCCAGGAGATGGTATGCTCACAATACAATAGCTTCTCTGGCCAGGGGAACCATCCAGAAGGGCAGATCTGTCCGTGTCACCCCTGTGCTCTAAACTCCACTCCTCATAATCTCCCAGTGCTCTTTGGATAAAGACTAATACATTGTCACTAAGGCCTGGCATGGTCTGGCTCCCACTGACCTGTGCCATCCCCACATTTCAGCCTCTTCAGCCTCCTTGCCAAGGTTCCCTCCAGCCCTCAGCCCTTTGCTTAGTCCTTTTTGTCTAGAATGCTGTACCCCCCCTTTGTCTAATTAACACCTAATCATTCTTCAGGCCTCAGCAAAAATGCCACTTCCTCCTAGAAGCCCTCCATGATCCCCCCCCCTCCCCGAGATCAAGGTTCCTTTAGAGCTTTGAGAGCAGTTCCCTCCCAGCTATCACTGCATGGTGGTGAAGTGATTTGATGGAAACCCATTTCCTCTCCGAGTTCTAAGCTTTGGGAGGGCAGGGGCTGTGCTCACCCCAGAGCCTTGCTTTCACAGCTCACTTTTCAGTTCCCTTCTTCCCACTCCACCAACCCCACCCCCCCCACCCCCCCACCCCCGCTTCACAGCAGCCTTGGAAGGAGGTAGAGAAGCATCTAGGATTCTTCTTTCTATCTGGACAAGACACCAGAGGCTCAGAGGGGTTGACTGACTGCTGCAAGTCACACAGGCAGAGCTAGACGGGAGAACTCCCCATTGCCCACTCTTACCGGAATTGGACTGAGCCAGAGAGATTTGGGTGGGGGTGAGGGTGGGCACTGGGAACCGCGGATTCCAGGAGGTGAGAAAGTGCTGGTTGGCAGGCACCCTGATACCAGTTCCTCCTGCCTGAACTACCTCAGGAGCTTGCAGTGATGAGCCTTCCAGGCCCTGAGACCTATTGTAGTGTTGGGACTCTACACCCACTTTTCTTATCTTGGCTCCCTGGCTCTGGGCAGCATTCCTTGAGCAAAACTTAAAGTTCTTCTATTTCCTTGTGTTTGTCCCTGCTGTTCTCTGCCTGGCCTACTCTCACCCCACTCTTCACGTTCAAATCCTTGAAAGCCCAGCTTAAATGCTGCCACCTCAATGAAATCCTTGCAGATGCCCACTTCCCCTGCCCAAGCCAGAAGTGACCTGTCTGTCCTCTGCTTCCCTCTAATGACTTTTAGCTGTGGCCCAAGATTGAGGGCATCTGTAGATGGAGCCCCTTCCCAGGTTCTCAGCTCCTCAAAGGAAAAAACGAGGCAGAATTCAGAGTTTGCCAAGTCAAGTGCCCACAAAGATGGCCTGGCAGGTGACAGAGGCGACGCGCTTCGGGAATGGCTTTAGGGGATAGCATCTTGCAACCTAGTTCCCAGCTAGTCCTTTTCAGGTGAAAGGGATAGCCCAGTGGTGCCAGATCTTATAATTTTTCGGAGAAAAGCTCTATCTAAATTTCTTTATGGAAATGTCCTTTTCGTAGCGTTCGTCATTTGAGAAAAATTTCAGCACTGTGCAGATTCCATAACACATTTGGGTAGGCTAGTTTCATGAGTTGGTGATATCTGATCTGGTTTATCTATTATGGGCTAGGCTGGTGCCTGGGAGGCAGATAGTGTTGTGGTATGTTTGGTCTGGCGTCCTCTGTTACTTCAGTCATGTGACCTCGGACAGATTGCTTTAATGATTTGAGCCTCAAAGTTCTCATCTGTAAGCAGGAGTGATAATCACATAGCTGTGGTTCTTAGAGCGTGGTCCAGACCAGCAGCATCACCATTACTGGAGAACTTGTTAGAAAAACAAGCTCTGAGGCCCTACCTTAGATTCCCTAACCTCTTGTGGGTCCAGCAACCATTTTAGGCAGCCCTCCAGGGGACGCAGAAGAGCCCCTGGCCTAGGGGCAGGCCCCCACTTGGGCCCCTTGGCTGGTGCCTGGCCCGCACTGAGTACTCAATTAATGGTGGCTGGTGTTTAGGCACTTAGTTTGAAAAACAAAAAAACTTAGGGGCACTTGTGTGGCTGTTGGTTAAGCATCTCTTGATTTCTGCTCTCAGGTCATGATCTCAGGGTCAACAGATGGAGCCACCCGTCGGGCTCCATGCTGGGCATGGAGCCTGCTTAAGATTTTTTTTTTTTTATTTATTCATGAGAGACAGAGACAGAGAGAGAGAGAGGCAGAGGGAGAAGCAGACTCCCTGCTGAGCAGGGAGCCCGATGCGGGACTCGATCTGGGATCATGACCTGAGCCGAAGGCAGACGCTTAACCATCTGAGCCACCCAGGCGCCCCGCCTGCTTAAGATTCTCTCTCTCCCTCTGCCCCTTCCCTCCCCTCTCCTCTCAAAACTCAAAATGCAGGAATGTGGTAGATACAATAAAAGAAAAGCAGGCTACATGCCACATGCTTTGGGTGTAGAGATGAGGGACATGATGAGTTCTTCTTCCCTGGAGATGAGGGAAGAAGTGGTCTCTAACCTCAGATCTAAAAGCCAGGGACACCAGCCAGGCATAGGATCGAACATTAGGTGTCCGTGGGCAGAGTCTCAGAGCAGGGTCACCTGTGGAATTTGGCCCAGGTGTTTGGGAGTGTGGGAGGGGGGGTTAGGAACAGAGACAGGGATGAGCCTTTATAAGAACTGGAATGTTCTAAACAAGGAGGTGCCCTCAGAGTTTTTAGTAGAGGAGGGATGGTGCTCCACTTTTTTTTTTTAAGATTTTATTTATTTGAGAGGGACAGAGATAGCGAGAAGAGAGCACAGTGGGGAGGAGAGGGAGAAACAGGCTCCCTGATGAACCGGGAGCCTGACACGGGGCTCGATCCCAGGACCCCAGGATCATGACCAGAGCCGAAGGCAGATGCTTAACTGACTGAGCCACCCAGGTGCCCCCTGCCCCACTTGTTTGTGAGCACAGTTCTCTTTGAATGCCAGGAAGGAGAGGAGAGACTGGACCGGGTGAGGAGGCTGGGGCAGGAGTTGAGGCAAGAGTGGTGTTGTCCCCGAGGGGCGCCCGGGGAATGGAGGGGAAGGGATCCAGCTGGTGATGTTACTAATGGAAGGAGAGGGAAGTAGGAGAGCCTGGGGTGGCAGTTCCATTAGGGATGGCATTTGTCGAATGAGTGAATATATATTGAGCACCTATGTCTCAGTTGCTAGGGACAGAGCAAGAACAAGACAAAAATTCTTGCCTTTGTGGAACTTACATTCTAGTGGGAGGAGAGAAAAAAATAGGTCCCATGGTGAGAAAAGGGGGGGACAATAATGGCAGGGAAGGGGTAGGAGTATGTGGACTGTTACCATAGCAAATGGAGTAATCATGGAGGGTCTCACTGAGGAGGTGATGTGAGCAATGGATAGATTAGATGAGGTCAGGTTGAATGGGTGTTTGGGAGAAGAGCAAGCCCTGTAGAGAACGCACGTGGAGGCTCTGTTATCGTGGAAGCAGGTTTAGGGGGTGGCGAGCGATGGGAGTGTGGAGAGACGGCTGGTCTGGCTGCCGAGGGGCAGGCACAGGAGTAGCCGGGGGTGCTGACCTCTTAACCGCCTGCCCAGGGCAAACGGAGAGCCGTGGGCGGCTGCAGGGGGTAGCAGAGCTGCGCCTGGCAGGCCTGGAGCTGACAGATGCCTCCCTGCGGCTCCTGCTGCGCCACGCACCCCAGCTGAGTGCCCTGGACCTGAGCCACTGCGCCCACGTCGGGGACCCCAGCGTCCACCTCCTCACAGCCCCCACTTCCCCACTCCGCGAGACCTTGGTGCACCTCAATCTTGCTGGTAAGCATCCTGTCTGTCCATCCTGCTAGCGTGTTGGTCCCCGTGGCCAGTGCCCACCCCGTACTCACCTTCGTGGTCTCCGCCGCCACTGCCGCCCCCCTCAGGTTGCCACCGCCTCACGGACCACTGCCTCCCGCTGTTCCGCCGCTGCCCGCGCCTTCGCCGCCTAGACCTGCGTTCCTGCCGCCAGCTCTCACCTGAAGCTTGTGCCCGGCTGGCAGCCGCTGGGCCCCCTGGCCCCTTCCGCTGCCCAGAGGAGAAGCTACTTCTCAAGGACAGCTAGTTGGGTGCCCCCCACCCTCCCCCAGGACTCATCAAGAGCCTTGGACCTCGGGCCTTCATTTTATCCCTGCCAGGAGGCCAGGTTACCCACCTCATGACTTGGGATTCCTGCCCAGGGACTCGAGCCAGCCTCCCCCCTCTCTACCCCCTGCACTGATATCTCTGGGGGTCTCTCCTTCCCATCCCTTCTCCCTTCCACCTGCTTCATTGTCCATCCCCTGGGGGGAGTGGGTCAGAGGTACAGGGGGGTGCTGAGCCAAAGGGATGGTGGGAGGGGGGGGGTAAGGTGCAAGTTTGAGGGAGGGAAATGGGGAAAGGGTACCTGCACACAGGATACTGGGAGCCAGGGGGCTGGGGGAGGTGGAGGATGGGCTGGGGGAGGGGGGGCAGAAAGCAGACCACCAAGGGTTCAGGGAACAAAGACCAGACACTTGGAGTTGGGGGGTGGGGGTGGGGCCAAAAAGGGAAACCAGAGGAGCAATTGGGGATCCACGTGTCAGAGATGGGGGGGGACTCGGGGAACCAGGGGAAAGCCAGGGCTGAGAGAGGGGTGGGGGCAAAGAGCAGGTGTGGGGGCAGTAGTACCCCCCTCAGGGGGTCACACCCCTCTCCTTACTCCCTCCCCAGATTTCAGTTCCTTCCCCCCCAACCCTGACTCCTTGAACGTCACTGACAATGGCAGCTATTGCGAGGAGTGGGGGCCGCGGGCCTACCCGCTGTTCAGCGTGGCCCAGGGGAGTGGTGAGGGGTACCCCAGCCCCCTACCTGTCTCCCCGCACAATACTTGAACATTCATCTGTACTGAAGTGTTACTTGAACCGGGGGAACCTCGGACCTGGGGGAGCCGGAGTGAGGGGACTGATCGGCTTGGACTGAGACTGGTCTGGTGGGCACCCAGCTTGGACTGCGCCACCCCCAGGCTCTCTCTTGCTTTACTGTATTGAGCAGCTCCACCCCTCCTGACCTAAGGTGGGGGTGGGGGTGGGGTGCCAGCCCAATGATGGGGAAGATGGGACTCCTCCAGCTTGGCTCTTCCCACTCTTTCATCGTCATGGAAACTTGTATCCCATTTGCCCAGGGAACTGCCACTCCTGGTTGCCATGGAAATAGCAGCCAATGGACACCTCCCGAAGCCAGTGCTAAGGCTGGAAATGGCCCCTCTTAGTTGCCATGGGAACTTAGTAACAGACTCGGCCCTCCCCCACCCTCCTCGGGGCGGGGGGCGGGGCTTGGGGAGCCAGGGGGAGGAGTTGGGGCCAGGTCCCGCCCCTCAGCCCAGGTCCCACCCCGGGGGAGCCGGGTTGTACCATGTAGGGGAGGGGGGATCTATCCACATACCTCAGGTAACAGGGAGGTGCGAGGGTGGGGGGAGGGACTGGGCGGACCAAAGGCCGGAGGGGAGGGGGTTCTGGGTATCGCGAAAGGCTTGAGGATGGGGCCGCTTGGGGGAGGGGGAGGAGGCAGCCCGGCGGGGGCAAGTGGGGGTCCCAGCCGGGCTGGGCCCCTGGGCCCCAGGTCTGTACAATACGGTTTGCTATAAAACTCAAAATCTTCCAGCCAGGGCCGCCGCATTCGTGTGTCTCTCACCGGCGTTGGGGTGGGGGGAGGAGCTGGGACGACTGGCTAAGGGGGCTATTTGGATGGATCTGGGGGTCCTTAGGACTTCCCAGGCTTCTCGGAACTGAGGATGCCGGACCCCCTTTGGTGCCTACAGGTGGATGGGTTCACCTTCCCCCAGCTCACTACTTACGGGGAGGGGTTTGGAGATCTGGGCATCTTAGGGGTGTCCCAAGTGTGCCGAATTGTCCAGGGCCCGGGAACTCCCAGCCCTAGGCTGGGGCGCGGGCGCCTGGGTGATAGTGAAGTGGCCTGGGGTCGCGAGGTCCCTCGGGATCTCTGCCGACGGTCTTTCGTTCCCCCCGCCTGAGCTCCACCCCATCCTGTGGCCGCTCGGGCTCCGGCTCCGCCTCCGCCCCAGTTCCGGTTTCGGCCTCTGTTATCCTGCTTTGGCCCCTGGGGCTCCTCGCAGACGCCTGCTTTCCCTGCTGCACACGGGCACCTCTTCCTGGGCGCCCGCCGCCGCCGCCGGCATCCCCGCTCGCCCCGCCCGGGGATGGGGCCTTCCGCCGGCCTGGGCCGGCCCTCATGGGGCACCCGGGGCGACTCGGCGCCCCCGTGACCACCCAGCCCGCCCAGTGCTGCGGCCCCCAGGATGAAGGGCGGCGAGGGGGACGCGGGCGAACAGGCCCCGCTGAACCCGGAGGCCGAGAGCCCCGCGGGCTCGGCCACATACCGAGAGTTCGTGCACCGCGGCTACTTGGACCTCATGGGGGCCAGTCAGCACTCGCTGCGGGCCCTCAGCTGGCGCCGCCTCTACCTCAGCCGGGCCAAGCTCAAAGCCTCCAGCCGCACGTCTGCCCTGCTCTCGGGCTTCGCCATGGTGAGGGGAGGAAAGGGGTGCACAGGGTGGGGGTGAGGCACATGGGGGCAGGGGGTCGCGGGCCAAGTAAACGGGTACCCAAGGGAGATGGGACAGAAGAAAGGGAAAGCAAGGGTTTTTAAGAGGTAAAGGAGTACAAACAAGGTCCCAAGGGACTACTCGAGTCCCGTTTTACGGGTGTGCGTGCGTGCGTGTGTGTGTGTGTGTGTGTGTGTGTAAACAGACCCCTAGTCATGAAGGGAGACAAATCACTGAGGGGGATACATATGCGAGGGTGGGGCAGAGAGGTCCAGAAGGAGCGTGGTCCCAGACAGAAGTCATTACCAAGTTCCCCTGAGAGATTTCAAACGCAAATCAGAGCTGGGTGGGGGCCCTATAAACAGGACTGGGAGAGTCAAAGAAGATAAACTGGATGCAGTAGTCCCCCAATTGAAGGCGGCCCCGTCCCCAGGAGGATGGCCAGTCCCTAGCAGACACAAAGAGGGCTTGGTGTAACCCGGGACAGCTTTGAGCAGAGAGAATGCCCCTGAAGAAGCTGCTGGGGAAAGAAGGTGATTAGGAAGCTGAGACATGATTCCTGATCTGATAAACTGCAGGTGTGGGAGGATGGTATCAGCTAACGGTCCCCGCGGAGGCCTCACAGGAAATGGGACTGAAGCAGTCCCAGGGTCAGGAGGACCTGACTCCTCTGGGCCTGTGGCCAGCCGTGTGACCCTGGACAGGCATCCAACCCCTCGAGGGCCAGTGGGAAACTGAGATCATAGAGGCTGTGCCCTCTGTAGCCTGCAAATAGCTGCCCCAGGATGAGCTGATTCTTGCCAAACTCTAGATCCCAGCATGTCAGAGCAAGACACACATCAGAGATGGCTCAGACTACCTGTTTATTGGGCAGGCATAGAAACCAAGGCCCTTAATGGGGCAATGCCTCTGCCAAGAGTGTTCAGCAGATGAAAGCTGCAGAATGATCTAGAACCCTGGATCACTGAACTGTTAGTCCAGAGTTTCTCCACCATCATGATGGGAAGGAGAAAGCAAGCTAGAGGGGGGGGTTCTTCATAGGAACCTATGGAGATGGGGATGGAGGGGTCACAGCAGTAGGTGATTTGCGTTAGTCTCTGCCCTGCTCTTTCCCAGAGTCTCTGTATTTGAATGATGAGAGGAAAAGTCTATCCCTAGGGGTCATCCAGGGTCTATGGTTTTCTCTTTGAGGGCCCAGTATCCATAGGCCAGCCCACTTTTCCTGATGTGGGGTCAGCTAGGGACAGGGAAGTGACTCCCTTTCACCTGTATAGACTGCAGAGGGAAGGAAGTGACTTCATGGATCTAGCTGACTGAGGGAAGTCCCCCACCCCCATCCATCCCATGGTCCAGCCTGTTCCCAAGGGGACAGTCCAGCCTGCTGCTGGACTTGCACGTTGCTGGGGTGACAGCTTACATGCCAGGACCTTCCCTACAGGATCAAAAGGCCAGATGAGTAGGTTCTGGGGGCAGGACTGGCCCCAGTCCTGCTAGGGGAGAGCAAGGCTGGGTCAGCCTCTGGGAGAAACCAGGCCTAGGCCTGGCCCAGATCTCTGTCTGTGGAAACTGCTAACACTTGCCATGGCCCAGTTTCCCAAAATACTTAGCTTTGTCTTCCTAACCACCACCCTCCAGACTCTGTACCTTCTTCCTTCCCCCAGCCCCAGAGCAATCTAATGGGTCCTGCAAGGACCAGGCATGGGGAAAGATCCAGATTCTGATATTTGGGTAGCCTGGGTTAGAATCACATTATACAAATTGTATTGCCCTGTCATGCAGTACCAGGTAATGTGTATCCCATGTCATGCAGTACCAGCTTTTATGTGTATCACATTTATTATTCTATGAAGTAGGTACCACTACTATGGCCATTTTACAGATGAGAAAACAAATCAGAGATGTTAAGACACCTGCCCAGGATCTCACAGCAAGTAAGCGGCAGAATTTGAACTTAGGTAGTCTGGCTCTGGAATCCAAATTTATACAACTCTAGAATAGGATCATCAATGCAAATGTTTGCAAAGGACAGGCAGGTATTATGGCCTGAGTGGGGATGGCTATCGGGAGACCCTATGACCTGTCCAAACGGAGCAGTCATGACTCAACTCTAGCTGATAGTTGACATGTAGGAATGTGGGTCTGATGTAACCAGATCTTCCAAATTTTCAAGGGGATCTAGAAATAGGAATATTTATAGGAAATCTCTTGAGTTTTAAAAGTGCAGCCTAGTTCCTTAAAAAACACTGTATGAGCCAAGCAAAACATGTGTGCAAAGTTGGCTTGGGTTCATGGTATACCAGTTTGCAAACTCTGGCCTTGGACTTCATTCAGTGTTCTTAAGAGCCTTGCTCTCCCCTAACACTAATAATAACACTAGTATTACAAACAGTTAATAACTGTAATAATAACAACAAACACCTAGCGCTTACTATGTGCCTTACACTATGCTTAGTGCTTGGTGTACATTATCTCATTTAATTTTCACAACAACCCTGTAAGGCAAGTAGGTGCCATTATCAATCCCCACTTTCCAGATGAGGAAATTGAGGCATAGAACTAAATCACTTGCTCAAGATTCCACAGCTTGTAGAGCTGAGAGTAATCCCAGGCGGCCCAGCTCCAGAATCTGCTTTAAAAAAAAATTTTTTTTATTTATTAGAGAGAGAGTGTGTGTGTTGTGTGTGTGTGCAGTGGGAGAGGGAGAAGCAGACCCCTGCTGAGCAGGGAGCCTGATGTGGGGCTCCATCCCAGGACCCTGGGATCATGACCTGAGCTGAAGGCAGGCGCTCAACCGACTGAGCCACCCAGCCACCCCCAGAATCTGCTTTTTTAACCCCCCTAACAAGGTAAGATTTTCAGAAATGTGTCATCTAATGTGTCAGCCCTCTCAATAGCCAGGTGCAGAAACCAAAGTCAGAACAGCACAGAGCCTTACCAAGGTGGCCAGTTCATTCACTCAACAGAGACTAAGCACCTTCTTCCTGCCAGGCACCGTTCTTGGCCCTAGGGATGCACTGGTGATGTATGCCAACAGGCAAAACAACTCTCTACTGCCAAAGAGGTTGTGGGCACTCAATCCGTCTCCTCTGTCCCCATAGGTGGCCATGGTGGAGGTACAGCTGGAGAGCGACCATGAATACCCGCCAGGCCTGCTGGTAGCCTTTAGTGCCTGCACCACCGTGCTAGTAGCCGTGCACCTCTTTGCACTCATGGTCTCCACGTGTCTGCTGCCCCACATAGAAGCTGTTAGCAACATCCACAACCTCAACTCTGTCCACCAGTCGCCACACCAGCGACTCCACCGCTACGTGGAGCTGGCCTGGGGCTTCTCCACTGCCTTGGGCACCTTCCTCTTCCTCGCTGAAGTTGTCCTGGTTGGCTGGGTCAAGTTTGTGCCCATTGGGACGCCCTTGGGCACACCAGCCCCCGTGGTACCTGCCTCCCAGGTGCCTGGGACTCTGTTACCACTGACCACCTCCCTTCGTCCAGTTTCCAAGGCGTCCTCTACTTCTGTAGCTCCATCACGGGCTGAGCCATCTGAGGCCTGCCCACCCCGGCAAGCGTGTGTTGGTGGAGGAGGGGCCCATGGGCCAGGCTGGCAAGCAGCCATGGCCTCCACAGCAATCATGGTACCCGTGGGGCTTGTGTTTGTGGCCTTTGCCCTGCATTTCTACCGCTCCTTGGTGGCACACAAGACTGACCGCCACAAGCAGGAGCTGGAGGAGCTGAGTCGCCTGCAGGGGGAGCTGCAGGCTGTGTGAGGCCCATGTGTGCCCTCCGGTCTGCAAAAGGACCGTAGTCTCAAGACCCCATTCCCTGCCCCTGCCTGGAGCCGCTTCTTGTGTCCACTCCCAGGTAGAGACCAGATTCCTGCCTTCAGGGTCCTTTGGCCTGGGCCTTGGGGCAGCTTCCACATTCCCAGGGATTCTCCCTGTCAGTCTATCCCAGTCTGTCTACTCTACATCTGGGCTGGGAGGAGCAAGCGAGGAAGTAGCAGGTCTTCAGTCCAAGGATCATGGTAGGTAGAGGGGAGGCAGGGAGATCCTGGTCAGACCTTTGGTGCTGACCCTTAGCCACTTATCCCTGAACAGGATGTGGAGGTCAGAAGGTTACACACCCACCCAGCTGCCTCAGAAGGCAGTCAACCCTTGCTTTATTTTTGTAGAATCTACTTTGTGGTTGGCATTTGGGGGAAGCTTTCCCCCATCTCCAGATTGTGGTGGGTTCCACATTCTTGCTTTAGTTGCCGTAGAGAAGGATTTGAGTGATTCTACCACAGACAGGTCCAGCCTTACCTAGGAGGAGCCTCCCTATTTTTGGAGGTTCAAGTGCCTGCCCCACTGCCCTACACCCACACTTAAGCTTCTGTGTCTGGTTCTCACTCTCCTAGGCCAGGGCTGGAGATCTTTGGAGTCTGAGGGCCCGTGTGCCCAACCTGACTCCCTAGAAAGGGTCTTGGGGTGAGAAGGTTTTAAGGGAGAAGGTCCAG